TCATTCTGCAGCCACCTCCCATGCATGTGGCTCTTCTATCTTCCACATCTGTTTCCCTAAACCTCTTCCTTCGCACCTCCCCCAGCCCCATATTGCGGCTAGGAGGTATACAGTCTTCCAGACATTATTCATGACCACCACCCCAGGGCCCCGAAGCCTCCCCCAACCACCCTCACCACAAGCTGTTCGTTGACCTCATCCAGGGTGTGCTCATCCCTGGCGTGACTTGACAACAACTTGACAGTGGCGGCGACCTGTATTCGGGGTTGGAGGGGGGAGAAGAAACGGGGTAAAGGCACGATGTCTAGCCATATGCACAGTTCGAAACGGGAAGGTGGAAATGACACAAAAGCGACTTGAGGTCCTGTGAGATTGGGATTGGGTGGATGCTGCAAGCCTAGCAGGCCGTCAGTGAGCAAATCGCCCCAAGGAGTCCAAACCCAACGCTGTGACTCCAAACTGGGGAAATATAATGAAGCTCCTGAACATACATTCCCACACACATACGAGCAAGAAAACTAATCAGCACAATCATCGCGGTTTTGGCATACATCACCCGTTGCCGTACAGTGCACCATCCCATTGCCGTACCGTGACGGCGGTGAGCGGGTCAGCAAGGTACGTCATAAGAATACCCTCCTGGGTCGGACCGACGCGGGCGCGTGTCAGCTCCTGGGGCGTGGGAAAAGGGGGGAGAGCTCGTTGGAAGCGGGGTATAATGCTGCATGTCATTAGGTTTAATAAATCTATGAGCCCTCCTCCCCAGCCCTGGTCACCGTAGTTTCATAATGGTCATGCTCGCAGCTCAACGAGCCCCCAATGCCAAAAGTCCTCTGAAACCCAACTCCACTCACTCACTCCCCCTTACCTCCCAGCTCTCATCCCCCGGCGCCGGCATGGGCCGCCGTACCAACGAAGAAGCGTTGAGGACGAAGCTCGTGTAGTCGTACTGCCCAAAGTTGACCGCAGCGTGATGGCCTGACGCCAGCCAGGCAATGGTGACGAGCACCCGTACAAGCTGCTGTACGGAAGGGATAGGACCCTCAAAACCCCAGAGCTGGGTTTCGCCCCCGGGGCGGAGTCCAAAGCGGATGAGATCGGGGTGGCCTTCGGTCTGGCATGTGGGTGTAAAGGAATGGGAGGGCGAGTTGCGTTACAAGAGCAGTCGGGAAGCTAATCTGTCAAAAATCGCGCACGTTAGTCACCGACCCAAATTGGGGATAGAGACTACTCCAGTCGCGTGAAGGGTAAATGGCAGTAACACGCTCGGAGATGAAGTGAGTTTCGTGAATTCCGGGTGCATGCCAGTACGGCGGCCAGATTTGGACATCACCTCCGAGAGTCTGAGAGAAGGCACCAAAACTATCAGCTTACTGAAGGCATTTCGGAGCCGAGGACACATTCGATCACCAAAGCGCCGGCTAGTGAAGATGAAGAGTAAAACGATAGAGTAAACATCGCCGTGATTCTTTGGTGCTACCACTCAAAGTTCCTAAACTTTGCGTAGTTTTGCTCATAAACGTTTATCTCATCCCATTGGGGTAGCGCAAATCAAGTCGTGAAGCGCGAGGCCTTCGGCACGGCAAGCCGGTGCAATGGTCATGGAGAAGAAGTGGTCGCGCAAGTTGCATGTCCTATTCGCATGACGCCATCGGACGCATGCTCCTTTGATATGAAACACGGCATCGTATGGACCGAAATATAGCGCGAGAAACGTTGACGTGACCTTGACCTTGGTCCATGGAAACAGGCAAACTTGTTTGCCCTCATACAAATAGTCAGCTACAGGGAAACTGTCTGGAAATATGAAAGGTTAACGGCTTTCAATATTGCGCTTTAGTGCGGCGAGATATTATGTTTGGTCGTTAAACACGGCCACCCGCACAGCGGGGTGCAATCTACAGGGCGGGGCCCCCGACGCGCTACACGCTGGGGCCTCGCCAAAAAATGGTTTGGAGGGAAAAATATGTTCGGAATCATGGAAGGGTTGGATCATAGAAAGGGGGAAAGGTGAAGGGGGAAAGCCAGACGGAAGGCGAATTCAAGCCATGGCGGGGAGCGCATACAACCCCCTCATTCACACCCTCTATAACCCACCTTGACCTCATGCCACCAAGCCTGCAGTTCCGTATCCCCCTTCACATCCTCATCACTCTTGTAGTACAGCTTCAGGTACGTGTCGAAGTACGACGTCAGTGCGTTCCACAGATCCAAGCCGTCAGTTGCGTACGGATAATCGAGCCAGGGCTTGCCAGTGGGGTCCACCATACCCCTGTGCGGGACAGCGTCAGGGGGGCTAGTGTGGGATGGGGCCCGTGGAAAGATATACTCTGGTATATTGGAGGATACATACCTACTTATCATCTTCCATCACAGTCCTTATCCCTCTTCCATGGGGTGGCTCTTGAAAGCTGATTACCTCAACCGTGGTCGCGTCCTGTGCATTACCCGATGCTCCCTCTGACCCCCTAATCCTAATCCCTGATCCCCCCCACCAACTACACACCGGGTCTTGAGGTCCTCCGGAAGAGCCTCCGTGGCGAAGTTCCAGTACTTGCCGTACACAACGGATGCTAGGCGCATGGCATAAGGCCCCGCAGAAAAGGACTTCTCTATGATTCCGCCCGCGTTGATTAGTCCTGAGCGAGCGTCGCGATTGATGTTCAGGGTGTAGCGGAAGTGCGGCAGCATCAGCTTGTAAACCTGGTTTTTTAATGTGGGCGGCATAACCAAGGGGAGGAGCTTGCAATAGGTTTACCTCTGTGCTGATCTGTCGGTCTTCACAGGTTTAAGGCCTAAGTCATCAATATTTGTCTCTGAAAATCTATGAGCATCAGTAGCTGCACTTGAAATTTTTCATTTTCGACACGCAAATAAATACCATTTTCTTGGTAGGGAAGGTTCTAAAGGTGCATTTGCAAACATCAAACATTCCGATTTAGTATTTAAGTAGACCCGAGAATTATTGCTCGAGGAACTCCAGTTTTTTCTCGGCCGAACTTCACAATCTTGTCCATGAAGCAGCACTACTTGCAGCAAGGTAAAAAATTGTGGACATGGGAGACTTTGACTGCCGAAGGTAGAGTGTTGATGGGTGTGGAAAGGAGAGAGAATGAAAAACAGAAGGGTCAGATAATACCAATAAAACGCAATGTGCACGTGAAGCTTGGTTGATATACCACTGCAATTATTTGAATCATTAACTAGTTGTAATGCTAGAAGTTTTGTGTGCATTCCTCTCGTGCTCGCAACAGCAATTTCCTTCCGTACCGGATGCATGACGCTAACATGTCGCCGAAGGGCGATGAAGAACGGCTCCAGCACGCAGTGGGTGCGATTCCAGTGGCTGATCAGCTGCAGGGAAGGGAGAAGACAAGATTGTTTTATGGGCATGCTGCGTTTTAACTTGCCGACAGCCTGCCCCCAATCCTTAAAAATCCCCATCAACGCACATCTACACGCAGAAACGCGAAACACACCACATGCAAACCCACTTGGTGGAACGACGAGTCCAGCGACTTGAAGATCATCTTAGCGAGTCGCCACACAGCCAGAGTGGCGGTGTCAGCGGAGAGCTGGGAGCGAGAGTAAACCTGGCCGGCAGTGCGGGCCAGACCAGGGTTCTTCGCGTGGGTCTTGGAATGGGCTAGCTCGATGGCCACGGGGATAAGGCCCGCATCATTGCCCTGCTCATCCCTGCAGGATCGGGGAGGGGAGAAAAGATATTAGGGGAGAGGAAGATTGCTTGGGGCGGGAAGGTGGGTGGGGAGGCGGATTGGAGGTGTTGGTTTTATAAGGGTAGGACAGTAATTAGGTGAATTTGTTGGTTCGCTGAATGCTGAAGACTGCCGGATGCCATAGTTTGATGTCCTTTCCTACTAGTAAAAAGCATACAACAGCATTACACCTACTTCCCACTTACTTCCGCAGGTAGAGGATGGCACGGCCCGCGTGCTGGACCACATCCTTGATGCGCTCGTTGGCCGCTGCCTCCCAGAAAGCCGACAGATCCCAATAGTCAATTGAGTACAGCCGGGGCTTGCCGCCCGCCGCCGCCTCCGAAACCAACTGCTCCAGGGTGGCCCCCTGCAGGTCAGCTGGGTACAGTATACATGTGCGTGTTCATAACTTAGGAAGGAAGGGTGAAAGACGGGGACAAGTAGAGGAGGGAAGGAAAAAGTGGGGGCAGGAAGAAAGGGGGGAAAAGAAAAGGGTAAAGGCAGAAGCCAACGGACATTTTTTCCCGCCCTCCATCCTCCCCACCCACTCATACCATTGATGTGCTCCCCCCGAATTGCGCTTCCAAAGCTCTCTGGCAGTTTTGTGAGGGCGGTGATGACACACGGGTTGTAACCTGCCACAGCCTGGCGACCAAACTCCAGGTCGCAGTGCCAGGCGTCCGGGCGACCATCCAGCACGCGGGGAGGCTGTGTGTCGAAGGAAGGAAGGGGGACATGGGCCCGAGTAAGCGAGTGAGTGCGTGCCGAGGTAGAGGCATGCCTGGGGCGCAAAACCAGAGAATGTAAACGGACAAAGCGGTGTATATAATTGTACGTCACGGGCACAGTACGGGTGGGTTATATTTACAGGTTATAAGGCTCGGGGTGTCCATCAATGCCCTTAGACGTGTGGTGGTGTTGAAAACGACAGAACAGAGCATGCAACACTAAATGCTTTAGGGATACAACGCAAATACATACGTAAGAGCCCTATACTTGTGTAGGAAAACCGTGGATGGTTAACTGCGCCTTGTGCTGTGCCTTACGTTAAAATACAGGAGGTTGTTAATGGTCGGTGTATTGCCAGTCACCAAGTTCCATAGCTTTGATCCGAGCCGCTCGTCCGTCTTGCTCGCTCCGGGCTTGGAATCCTTTGCGAAGAAGCTGCGAGCAGCTGGGGTGCCGGTAGCAGATCCGTACACAGGGCCCACCTGGCCGTGCAACAACGGGAGGCGAGGGGGAGGGGGAGGGGGCCGAACACAAGGCCCAGCGGAGAGGGGACCTGTTAACCCCGGGACGCAATTCATATGTACACATTAGGCAGCTTCGGCAGCCCAGTCTCCACACCATCCCACCTTCCCCCCTCACTTCTCACCCTCAGCTCGGCCGTGTAGCTGTCCACCTTGGCCGCCGCCTCCTTGCTCAGCTGGAATTCCCAACCGCCTGTGACATTGCGGTGTGTGTGTATGTATGTCTAAGTTCAAGCGGGGAGGCTAAAGTGGGAATGGGGGTGCAGCAGGTTTGGGCCGCATTCGAAGGGAAGTTACGGCAAAGCCGTCGACACTTTCACTGAGACCCTGTTACCGATCCACTGGGTACATCATGACTTGGCCACGGACGGATTGGGTAATCTCATCGAGTGGACGGTGGGCTTTTGAGTTGCTGTTGTTTTAGTTTGCTCGTCCTTGAAGATAGACACTTTCCTTGCAGATAGAGATTCCGCAACGGCAACGTGCACGGCAGGCTGTACGACATGTGGCTCACCGTCAGCTGACTTGAACGGTGACACCTTTGATGGCTTCCCGTTCATGTCAGCAGCAGCACCGCCGTTTGCGCCCTGGGGATAGAGGTCCGTGGGGAGGAGGCTCTTGAAGGAGCCGCTAGACTGCAGGGAAAGGGGACGGTACAGAGGAAAAACAGGAAGGTTTGGGCGGGTTCGGGGTTGCGTGGAGTAGGTGGCAGTGTGGAGGTAAGGGCAAGGGAAAACGGTGTGTGTAGGGACACGAGCTGCCTGCCTTGCCCACGTGTATAATCAAATGAATACGGTGCCATGCGCATGCAGAAGCTCCTGTACGACATCGCCCATGTGCATCACGAGTACGATGCCGTAAACATTTGTGACACCTCGACAATGCCATACCTTTTTGTACATCGCAATGACATCCTTGAAGTCCTCGAAGTTGTCCAGGGGGCTCTCCACTCCGGGCAGTATCTTGCCCAGGACCTGCCTGGCGGCTCCGATGACCAGCGTGGGCAGTAGGGTGACGGGGGAGCGACTGCTTGCGTTGGCAGCCTCCTGCGAGTGCGTGTGCATGGGGAAGGGTGTGGTGTGGGCATGGCGGGGAACCGACTTGCTTGGCGCATTTGCGTGCGGTATGATATGGTGCGTGCCTTCATGTAAGTGTGTTATATGCATACATGTGTACGGTCGCCTGAGAAAGGGCATTACCCGAGACTAAAACTAAAAGCCCGGCAGCAGGGCGATAAGACCAGCGCCACATTCCACCCGGGTGCAAACGAAGGTAGCGGAAGAGCAGCGTCAGTAAACATTTCGATTAGGTGACGTTCTCGTATAGCTACCGTCCCTATAGGTGGTCGAATATTTTACTGACAAAGGGAGAAGGTCGCCCGGCCCAGCCGATGTGGGATGCCGACATCTTAAAATCAGTACCAATGCACATCCATACATAGATGCATGTACACATGTTATAACAAACGCGTCAACTTCAATTGCTGTCAACTCACTGCAATTGTTGCAATAGCGGCTGCCAGGGACCCCTGGAGGGCTGCTCCATTGAAGTCAGAGGACTTGTCGAAACTGAACTGATCATCTGCGTGCGGGTGGGAGGGAAGGGGAAGATAAGGGGGGCTTGATAAACATATTTTAATGCATGAGCGCAAAAATGAACTTCTCACAGCAGGCCTTCTACGGACAGGGGACACTCTTGAGTGCATGGACGCACATACAAACAAACCCCACATACAGACGGACATTCCTCCACAAGATCGCGTACCCAGCGGCAGCCACAGGTCTTTGCCTTGCTGGGGTGCCTTCTCCCGGCCATCCCGCTCATCACCGCGGTTGGTGGCGAGACGGCGAGGGTATGGCAGGGCCTTGGAATCTCCCAGGTTGGGACGAACAAGAGCGCCAGTCTTGCCGGAGCTGAGATCGCTGTACACCTGCATATATATGTTGCAGTGTGTGAAGTAGTCTTGTTAGCTTTATCCGTGGCTACTATCCAGCCAACCAACCTGGTACCAGTAAATTCGGTCCGTGTCCTTCCGTTTCTCCAGACGAGTCTCAGGGGTACCCTGAGCCGCGGGAATGGACAAGAGCATGGGGGCAGGAGGCGGTGATCAGCGGCCGAGCAGCCAGAAGGGGTCAAGATAGGCAGGGTACTGTCGACACAGGATGTTGGGACAGCCTGGTATAGGACAGAATAAGCACAATCCATCGCTCAACCCTACCCATGCTTTCTCTGCACTGTCCTAAGCTTTTGAGGAAGAGGCACCCAGTTTTAAACTCGCTGACTGACACGACCCCCTCCCGCACACCTCCCCTCACCCACCTGCAGAGCCCGCAGCTCGTCCCGGCGCTCATCTGCCAGGGTCGGGGGGGTGTCCTTGGGCAGGTAGGCAACTCCCGAGAAAAACACACGCCAACCGTGATCTGAGGAAACCCAGCTGTTGGCGGTGATGGTATGGACGGAGGTGGCACTGGGGCAGAGGGTGGAATAACGGCAGGGGGTTGAAGAATGGCAGGTAGTGAAGAGGGTCGGGAAAGGGAGGAAAGAAGGGGACAGGTCAGGGAGGGCTGTGTATTCGTGCAATTGTGTCTGCTTTTTGCTTGCTTACGTTATTTGCAGCCCTTGGCTTCTTCCGTGTTCTGTTCCTGTGCACACGCACCATTTCTAGTCTGCTATGCAATCATTCCGCGAAGACAGCCAATTATAATGTATGTTGTTACAGGGTGGTTAACTTCGCCAGCGGCCCCCTTTCCCGGGGCAGTCCCTGCTCTCCCCTGCTAGAGGGGCACCCTAATCCGTCACCCCATCCGACTTCAGAATGTATTCGTTGAGTTCGGCAACTCACCACCAGCATCCAACCAAATCTAGCGGATCAACGGCGCATCAACTTAGTTCCTGGTCAGCTCGCAAGTTGATATTATCACGTCCTACACCGTCCATAAGATGGGGGGCCACCTCCCATTTCATCACTCCTCAAACACCCGAGGAGCCGGCAGGCGGATTTGAACCCGGGTCGACTGGGTCAACTGGGAGCAGAAGTCAGGCCTTAACCTCTGCCAGCCGCCTGCCTTCTGCCAGCCGCCAGCCGCCTGCCTATAATGTATGCAGGCGCACAGGCCTTGTTCAGTAATCATTCGCTGGCGATGGTGAGATGGAGGCATGTATGATGTGTGAAACAGGGGGGTATATCTTCACCCATGGCAGCTAGCCCGCGAAACCTGCCTTCCCCGGTATTTCGGGGCACCCTCATCCTGTCACCCTAGTCAGCTTCTCAGTGGATCGCTAAGGTTCCGCACCCACCACCAGCATCCAACGGTATCTGCCGGGTCGACAATGGCCCATCTCCATTCGTGGTCGTCATCGCGAGGTAACTTTTTCCCAGGTCACCACCGTCCATTATCAACTAGGGGCGCAATACCTTCCACAATCGGAGGGATTTTTGGTCTTGACAGGTATCGATCCCGGAAACTCTCGGGGGCAATGGTTACATGTACGAATGTATGTATGTTGCTGCCAGCTCAAGCCACTTAACCCGCAAACGCACTTGTTGTGGAAGTGGTAGGATAGCGCAGGTTTGGTAATATGTTGCCTAATGGGGCTCCTAATGGTGTAGATAAATACAGTGTGCGCATACCCGCATGGAGATGGGTAAAAGTGAAAATGGTAATACTCCTAGCAGCAGATGGATTCTGCTCCTACCAGGTGAGGTCTATGGAGGCAATGTAATCCTGCGAAAGCTCGCCGTGTTGGTTATCCTGCTTGCGAACCAGCACTGCTCCTGGGGACTTAATTTCGGCTGGCAGGAAAATCGCGCCCTCGCGTTCCCAGCCGATGGTGCCATCGCTGCGGGTGATCTCCTTCGGTGGGCGCCACGAGTCGACCTCAAAGATAGTACTCCTTAGCTCGCTATGAGTGTCAATAACGACAATGCTTAGTCGTGCGCCGGAGTCCCTGCGTATCGCGAAGGCGCAAACATGTAGCTATAACAGACATCCAAGGAATAAATAAATCACAGGTGCAAAACGTCCTACGAAAATTTAAAAATCAACTTATCGATAGTACCCGAGCAGCGGTGCCGTCGATCGAATGCAGCACTTCCAGGCCACACCAGCAGGCGAAGCACCATCACCATTGGTAGCGCCAGCCTGCTGCTTCTGTGTACTCCCCCCTTCCAGCTGAGTAGATTGAGAATACCCCGAAGAGACAGATACCTGAAACCTCCATCGGCGCGGAATGCCAATGAGGATTGTCGGAGTCAAGATCTTATTACGGAACAACTTGCAGTTATCGGAGGCCGCATTCTGCCTCTTGCGCTTGGAGTTGATGTCGCAGCCATTAAAGCTCCTACTAATTAAAGATGCCATATCTGCTGTTAAAATAGCAAAACAACAAATATTTCATGCCTGCTTTAGCTTTTTATTGTACCTAGCGACTGGCTTTTCAACTCGAGTACCTATTCATCTTCTCAACTGCTTCGATCGGATCGAGGTCGGACGTTGGCAACGAACGGATTAGCGCGGTGGTTGGAGAAATCCAGAAACGGTGTTGTCCCACGAGTTATCCAAATTTGCAGTGCTTAATATATTCACTTAAAACTTTTATATAATTATATTTATTTCTTAGACGTAAGCGCATGGGTGCATGGGCGCCTCCCTTGGCGTTGTCAACTTCCGAGTGCCAGGTTCTGTGAGCACATGTGCCCTCGACAGGCATGCTCTCAACTTAGAGAAATTCGCTACTTGCATAAATACATATTTCTACAACGTAAGTCATAAGTGTTATCGCGGTAATGGCATGCGGAATTTCATGTTATGAACTACAGCAGCGAAGCCTCCTGCCTGGAGTTGGACACGCATCCTTAACCGTAGCCTACGACATGTCGTGATACCAATGCAAGGAAATCGGCCGAATGGGGTGCTGGCAAGAGGATACTTGCTATATGCTGTGATCCCTGGCTGCTGGTGGGTTCCATGTATTCTATGTAGGGATCGAACCCTTCCTTCAACAGATGGTCTCTCAGAGTCTCCGTAGGTTGCATTGCAAGAAGGAAATCTGCATGAGTGGAAGCAGAAGTACTGCAACTCCACCTTGCTGACCGCTTACATGGAGTTTCCTGTTGTAGCCTACAGTTACAGGAGGCCCTACCACATAGACTTGCCCGGTTATCGGGCAATTTAGGTCGTTAACGGGGTATGCGGAGACCGGTTACCAGGTGGATGGTTACCGGGGGTCGTTAATGGGGGTGGTTACGATTGGGTTACCGGCTGGTTTTTCGCATTAATTTACAGCAGCAAGGACAGCCCTCTATGGCCGGTACTCAGCTCAGTGTCTTTTTTTAAAGTAATATATTCCTTAAAAGTAATAAACAGGCCATTTTGGCGTTTGGAAAAAAGGAATGAACTGAGGCCGATCCTCAAAGCCCTCAGCACTCCTCCTCTGGCGATCTAAGTGATGCCCAGCACTGTGCTGCGTAAGCATGATGCTGCGTTTGCGGCGGTCCTGGATGATGTCCATGCCGAGGTAGTAGCGCGCCTCTCCAAGGTCTCGTACTGCGAAGCAACCAGCTATGGCCGCCTTGCAGGTTGTGGCCGACCAATTGCAGGTTGTGTGCCGCCACCAGCATGTCGTCAACGTGCACGAGCACATAAATTGAGCCGTCGGACCCGCGCTTGACGAATAGTGCGGGGTCGGACATAGACGGCTCATAGCCTAGCTTGCCCAACTCCGCCGCCAGTTTCTCGTACCAGCAGCATGGGGCTTGCTTGAGGCCGTAGACGGACTTTAACAGCTGGCACGCCTGCGTCGGGTCGCCGTTGCTGTAACCTGGTGGCTGTCGCATCCACAGCTCCTCTGCCAGGTCGCCGTTTAAGAAAGCCGTTTTGACGTCCATCTGATGGACCGTCATACCCCTGGCCGCTGCCACAGTTAGAAGTGCCCGCAGGGAGGCTGCACGCGTGGTGGGTGCAAACAGCTCTCCGTAGTCTATGCCCGCGCGCTGTTCGAAGCCCTTCACCACCAAACGCGACTTATAGCGTACCTCACTGCCTGGCTCCTGTTTGATCTTGTGAACCCAACGCCCCCGTCTGCCTCAACAATGCAAGCTGCTGCTGCGACGAGGTACCGCTTTGGCGGCCCACAAGACGGCCAGGAGGCCACCGGGAGGCCACGCCGTGGGCAGCTTATCATGGCGTCACCCCTGATGTCAGCCACCTGCACACCTTTGGCTGCCTGGCCTATGTCCGCATCCCAGCCAGCCAGCAGGATAAGCTCGGTCCCCGCGCGAAGGCGGGAACCTACCTTGGACCGGAGCGCAACACGGCCGCCCACTGTGTCCTTGTTGACGGCAAGGTGACTGTTAGCCGTGACGTCACCTTCGATGATGACCACTGCGGCCCGGCATCTCAACGGGCGGGCACCCCCTTCGGCACCAGCCCCGCCCGTCCTGGCGGCAGCGACCCCGTCGGCGGCTCAACACAGCCTGCCACACCGCCAACTCAAGTGGATGCCCTGCCCCCAGTGAACCCAGCGCCCCCCTCCGCCCTAACACTCGCAGTCAACGGCAACCGCTGCACCCACCGCTGGCCCCGGTCAGCCTGGCCAACAACAGCAGCTGCGGCGGCGGAGATTTGGGTAGTCCACCGCTGCTTAACAAAGCGTCGGGTAGCACCGATCGCGCTGAGTTTAACGTGCCCGACGGCAGTGCCAACGGCGGACACAATAGTGCTGCGCAGGAGCTTAACATGCCCGACGGCAGTGCGGACAGCGGAGGCCACAGCGCGGTGCAGGAGCCACGCAAATATGAGGAAGCGGTGGCGAGTCCGCAAGCTGACAAGTGGAAGAGTTCGATGGATGACGAGATCCTGTCGCAGCTCTCCAACAAAACATGGGAGTCGGGCACACCGCCGCCTGGTGCACGCATCCTGGACTGCCGCCACACGGGCCTGACAAACACACCTGAGATGGACACACCTCGCCTCGAGCTGCACCGCCCCACCAACGGACCCCTGGTCGCCGTCGTGCGCATGACTGACACCCCTGAGCGGATTGAACAGGCTCACATGCCCATCTATGTACACCTCCCTCAGCCGCCCAGCATCGATGACACCATCGAGCTCTTCATGCTCGCCCTGCACCAGGCCGTGCCCTTCATGCTTATGGCCCAGTACTTCGACCGCCGTGATGAGCCTGACCCTGGCGACCCACCGCAGATGCTGGTGGAGGGCAAGCCCGGCACCGGAAAGACCCAATTCATACAGGCGCTGCTCTGGTACACATTCCAGCATGGCTGCCCGCACTGGGCGGCCACCTGCGCCTACTCCTGGGCCGCCGCAGCTGCCTTCGACACGCCAGTGCACCGCAGCCTCTCCACCCACGCCATGTTTGCCCTCTCCGCTGGCAACAACCGAGCGGAGAGTGTCAGGAAAGGCAGCGCTGCCAGCCTACAGGTGCACCGCAATGCCGGCACTGGTGCGCTCATGATTGATGAGATCGGCATGAACAGCCTAGACCACCTGGGCGCGTGCAACCAGTCATGCACCCATCACCTGTTGCCGCCATCACATCTCGCCGGCGACCACCCCGCCGCCACCATCTTCAGCGGCCGCCCCAGCGCCAACACAGGCGATGAGTTCCAGCACCCAAAGCCAGGTGGGCCACCCCTCTATCGGTACACCGCTGCTGTGGAACACAACCCCCAGTTCTCACCCTCCATCCCGACTGCGCAACCTCTGCACGGAGAGGATGACAACAATGGCGTCCCTAACGATGCTGCTGCTGGAGCTCAAGGCGGCAAACAGCAAGCCGAAGTAACAGCACGCCACACCCGGGCCGTCCCACAGACCCAGAGCCGCATCCTCGAGGGCTTCCGGGTCTACCGAGCCCTGGCCAAGACGGTCTTCTTGCTGGTGAAGCAGCAGCGCCAGGACAGCAGTCCCTCTGGTCATCACCTGACAGAGTACGCCTTTATGTTCGGCGGCTAGCCAGCCACCGAGCAGCGCATAGCAGAGATGGTTGATGACCTCAACAGCTGCGCCATCATCGACTTGGCAGACCTGGCACACCTTGAGCCGCGCGTCGTGCTGCAGAGGAACGAACCACGCCACATGCTCAACACCCGGCTCATCATGCTGGAGGCACACCGCAAGAACCAGCGCCTTATGGTGTGGAACGCCGACCACGTCCCTGTCCAGAAGCGCGGCGCCGCTGTGGAGCCACCCTTAACACACGTGGAGAAAGCAGTTGTGATGTGGATCAAGGATGACGAGTTTGGCCACACCACCGCCGACACATGGTACTACCATGGCGCCCGTTACATCCTCCTTGACACGACGGCAGCTGATGCCGGGGCGAGTCACAACAACGAAGTGGAAGCCTGCGGCTTGCTTGAAGATGGCTGCGAGCCAGCAGATGACGGCCGTGGGCCATACCACTGGCTCAAGTACCTGCCAGCGGCCGTCATTGTGCGGCCTGTGAGCGGCCACATCCCCGAGACCGTGCTGCAGGGCCTTGGAGACTACGCAAGCAGGGGTGGCGCCTTCATCCTGACACCCCGGGCGTCTTGCATGGCCGAGGTGGAGATGCCCGCCGCCGGATGTGGCACCATCACAAAGCAGATCCGGCGCCTCAACGTGCTGCTGGGCGACCGCCAGGAGGCCACGGGGACAAGTGGCCACGGCGTGGCCTCCCTGAGAGGGAGCCACATTGCGCAGGAGGTTGGCGTAGAGCAAAGCCTCCGGCCAATAGCTGTCCGAGAGGGCGGCATCGTACAGCATAGCCCGCACACGGTCGAGGAGCATGCGATTGAGCTGCTCCGCTGCTCCGTTCTGCTCCGGGGTGTACAGCGCCGAGTGGGTGTGCGCAGTGCCGTGCTGGTGTAGCCATTGCTCCAGTTGCTCGGCGACATACTCACCACCGTTGTCACTATGAAGTGTGTGTACCAGTGCATGGTTCGGGTGGCGAGCCTCCAGCTGCATCACCATGTCCTGCAGCGCTTTGCCCACTTGGTTTTGGCTAACCAGCGTGCGAACGGCAGACAAACCGGAGGCACCGTCCAGCAGCGTTAGCAAGTAACGTGCCCCACCTCGGCCCGTGGTCGGCATGGGCCCGCACAGGTCAGAGTGCACGACCTCCAGTGCATGCTGAGGCCGGTTGCCGCGGCTGACGTGGGCTGTAGCTGTGGTCTTCGCGGTGATGCAGGCTTCGCAGACGCCCTCTGCCGCCTGATGCAGCGCCGCTGGAATGACCCGTGGCCCATCCACCAGCTGCTTGGTGATGAGCTCCTCCAGTGCCCGGTAACCAAGGTGGCCGAACTGGCGGTGCAGCAGCAGTGCAGCGCCTGCACTGCTGCGAGTTCGACGACTGAGCACTCAGTGGCGCCCAGTTGCCCTTGGCCGTTGCTGCTGTTGTTCGGCTGGTCTCCGCCGGCGTCACTGCTGGTTGTGCTGCCATCGCGGGTGCTGGGGGCGTCGGCGGCACTTCCGCCAGCATCACCACCTCCGCCGGCTCTGTCTCCCGCGGCGAGCGCGTTGACGGCGCGTTTGGTCGGCGCCAGCAGGTCCACATCCATGACGTAATGCCCGCACTCGCTCCATGCGGTGATAGACAAGCTGCTGTGCGGGAGGCCTACGCGCGAGAACCGGCGGCCCGTCTTGTCTGTGCGAACGTGACCGAGCAGCCGCGCGTCACGAGAAGGTCGACAGACATGAGTGTGTGTCCCGAGCTGGGGGACATGCAGCACGTTGCGCAGCCAGACAGATTCCCCATCGCGCGTCCTAGGAGCAACTGCCCTGTTCCCATGACGTCGGCTAGCTGATTGTTTTCCCACTTGATTTGCTGAGGCGCACCGACAGGGATGTAATTGTGCATCAAGGAACGGTCACCCGTGAGGTGGTAAGGTGAGCCAGAGTCTAGGACAACACATGAACTGCTACCACTGCCATCGACGACCAGCACCGTGGCACGGTTCTGGCGTGAGCTTCTTCCGCCACCACCACCGCCACTGCTTCCGCCTGCAGTGTCGCTGCCGTTGCGGCGGCCGTTGCCGCGTCCAACATGGCCGCGTTCACGTGCCCTGTCGCCCCCGCTGTTACTGATATTGCCGCTGCCGGTGCCTCCGCCGCCACCGTCACGATGGCGGTTGCCGCTGCCACTGCTGCCGGCGCCGGCACTGCATGGCTGCTCGAACGCATTGCTGCGGTAGAGACCAACAGACTCGTCCGCCAGCTTAACGGGGCATTCGCGGACGTAGAGACCAGGCTGTCCACAGTAGCGGCAGATGTCGTTGGCCCCCGCGGCGCCCGAGGCGCCAGCAGCACTGCGGACTCCTGGTGTTCCTGCCGTCGAATACGGAGATGTTTGCACTGGGCGAGGGCGGGTCGAGCACTTTCCTCCCCCCCCCGTCTTGGCAGGTCGTAGCAGTACGGGTGCAGTTTTAGCTTGGGCGCAATCGTGTAGCACTCGGGCGGATAGTGTGGCGCTTCCCCGCTACTCTTTGGATCTTCAGTCGGTTGCGGCGCCCCCCGTCATTAGTAAGTTGTTTGTGGTGCAGCTGCAGCTCGCGGCTCCTAGTCTGGATCATTCTGCGTGTCTTTTGCAGATTGCTCAGGTTGTCATGTCTCGTGTTGGCGCCAAAACCTGGCAGTCGTATGCGTCGCATTTTGCCGCCTTTGTGCGTTTCTGTGTGGAGGAAAGTTTGGAGTTTCTCCCGGCCTCCCATTATGCCGGGCTCTTGTGGGGTCAGTTTCTCGCTGCCAAGGGCTCCATCCAAGTCCGCACAGCGCAGCCTTATTTCAGTGCTATTATCTCCGTGCATGACTTGCTCGGGTACCCTAAGCCCTGTGCCGGAGACAACACCCTGTTGGCCGCGTTCCGTCGAGGTTGGGAGCGCTTGCAGCACTCAACGGTGCCTGCTTCCGTGCTCGTGTTGGCCTTTAGTGCAGGTGATGCTTGGCATCTTTATGAGCAGTTGGCCGTGGTACCCGTTGGCTCCGAGTTAGCCTTGCCGTTGTTGTTCGTCGTGTTGAGTTTCTGTCTCTTGCTTCGCCCAGACTCTCTGCTGTCGGTAACCTGGGCGCGTGTTGCTGTCGTTCAAGGGGAGCAAGTTGTTCAGTACAAACCCCTCAATTGGAAGGGCCGTTTGGTTGCCGTTTGGTTGCCCGTTTCCCTGCAGTGGGCTGTCCGTCAGCGTTTTTTGCGTGATCCGTCGCGGTTGTGGCCAGCGGGTCAGTCTACGCGTGGTGCTGAGCGTTGGTTTGACTTAGTCCTTGCAGAGTGTGGTTTGCCTCATATGCGCGGGTTGCATTCTCTCTATAGCCTGCGTCGTGGTGGCGCTTCCGCTGCTCGGGCGGTGGGAGTACCGTTTGAGATCGTTGAAGCGTTTGGCGGTTGGTCTGCCGGTTCTGTAGCCCTCCGAGAGCAAACACAGAAAGTATGAAGACAGGGAACCGTCGCGGCGACATTTTCATTTACGTGATAGGTAACATATAATGTTAAGTAATTAGGATGTAACACGCCTGCTTGGTTCTTGCCGTCTAACATATGGATGCCGTACACTTTTCCGTTATTACGGTCAAAGTATGAGGTGCAGCATACGTTTACAGTACTTCTCCTTTTGTTATGTTGCAGATTACTTGAAAGGAACTTGCTCCAGTTGGCGACTGGAGGAAGCATTCGTTCCCAACTTTCCCGATCTGCAGAGCCCGACATCAGGAGCTGGCTGAGAGACAAGGAAGAAAAGATTACTAAGCTTAAAAATATGGTATAGGGTTGCCTTAAATTGTCTGACAAACAGGGTGATTCCACTTGGCCGCACACTAGCATTAAGTTTCAAAAATCTCACGCCTGGCTCAGCAAATCATGCAAGCGATAAGGAACTAGTTAAATACATTAATAGAAAGTAAAAATCCTTTAGGAAATCGCGTAAAGGGACTCCGTACGCGAAAAGCCGAACGGCCCAGTGCGTACGCGTACGCCTCGGACACTAAGTCCGCAATAGTGGCACACAAGTTATCAGGGCCTCAGACCCGCTGATAACTTTCAAAGTGGACATTAACTTCCGAGCGAGAAAATACATAGTCCGCCATTTTCCATCCTCAAGGCCCTACGCTGACTTTTGTATTTTCCTTCATCCACAGCCGCATTTTTAAATAGCCCGCTAGCCAGTGGATTTTACAGCAGGACCGGTCGAATTGCCCACACTCCAGCAATTAGCCGACAAAACAATAATGATTTGTGATTTATAAATTACACCCACTCTTACTATAACAATGGTTTGGTGCCTTTAAAGCAACCTATCGTACGCGTATGCATATGGATCCGGGGCGCTTAGTGGAAACACCTGTCCACTAGCCGCACACTAAGTCCACATTAAAAATAATGTTTAAAATTTTAACACTAACTTTAAAGTTAGTGTGCGGCGACCCTGAAAGCCATACACGACTCAGAGTCGTACTGATCAAAGCCAATCCATACCTACTCGGTAATGAACACAAACCCCTTGCATTACTTTGATAGGGTATTATAAAGAGTGGTTACGTGTACGTAGCTTAGCTATCCATTTTGGAATTACTTGAAGCCGCCGACCTTTTCACGTGTGCACACTCCGTGCTCATGGATGTTTTAGAAGACTACGTTTCTCCTCCATCTCTCCCTAGGCCTCTTGATGGCAGCCCGGGCGTTACGGCGGTGGCCCGCGCCAATGGCATCAGTGGTCCAGTCGCCCACAAACTTAGGAACTATCTACGGCAGAAGGCTCTGAAGATGGACGCGTTCATTGCGGAATTAGTGAAGGCGTCCGAGTACTGCGGCGCCAAGCACGTGCAAGAGGCGCTGGTGACCACACTTGGCATCGACGCCTTGGAGTCGATCACACTCCTTCGTGTTCTTGTCCCCAAGGACAACAACGAGCGCCGGAACAGGTAAGGAATAAGGGTATGCAGAACGGGGGGCAACAGACTAAGCTTTTGATAAAGAAAGGTAACGGATACCCTGGGGGGGGGTTCACACATGTAATCTCCGTCTAAGGCTATCTGTCAGTATGCGCTGGCTATCTTGTGATACTCTGCAACTCTGTCACGATGTTATTTCAACACTTGCCATTCATTCCGTTCTCACTGACATGTCATGCAGTAACGCCTCATCTGTAACTGAGCCTTCCACAACCAAGCAAGTGGCCAAGCACTTGTCCTCCACCATACCATTGAAGTACCAGGTGGTCGTTAAGAAGGTTGCGAAGCCCGACGCCATCAAGATAAACAAGTGGTACACGTGCGGGTAGGTACAACATAGATTGATGTAGTAGACATGGGTACTTTTCTGCGCAAGATCACATAACGCTGGCACATTCTCAGGTTCCTTATCCTTGGGGTTACCTGAGACACCCTGTCGTCCGCACTGGCGAAGAAGGACAGGCTTAAGGGCGCGGTGAAGGACACAACCGACGTTGTTGACCTTAAGAAGTTGGGGAAGCGGTGGATGGCGGCGCTCTTCCAGTCACTGACTGGAGACAGCCTCTCAAAGGTTCAGCAGGAAGACAAGGCTACGTACGACGCTGTCTATGACGCCTTGAAGGCGAAGCTGCAAAACGCGATGGCAAACCATCAGTCAGGTAGAAAGGGTGATGTTTCGGAAACCAAACGATATTCAATCAAACTGTGCATTACACCTCACACTGGTCTGGTCTGGGTTGACACTACTGCAATTAGCGGTTTAAGGTCCTGGGTTCGATTCCTGGGGAGACCCCCGATTTAGTCGGGAGCGCGAGATTATGGCTAGCTGCTGAGATGTGGAGTTGAGGTCACAGTTGATGGACCAGATTCGCACGCTGGATTGGTGGCGATTGCCAAACCCTCCGTCTCTTCGGGTGTTCGGGTGAATGGATGAGGAAGGGTCCCCGAAGGCTGGATCCGCCGCCTTGGACTTACAGTTCGTATGGCGAAGTACAGTGTGGTAGTGGTGGATGGTGCTATAAGGTGATAAATGATCTAGAACTGACAATGTGATAAAGCGGCCCAGAAGCTTCCCACTCTGTAACATTACATACATTACACACCTCACACTCCCACAGTGCTGATCTTTACGTTAGTTTGGGTAACCCACGTTTCGGATGCCGATGCATGCAGAGAAGAAGAAGTCGGACTTCTTCAAGGCCATCGGACTGACGACTGCAGACAAGGCTAAGCTCGAGACCGTGGCGACTTTGGACGCCGTCGGTGCGACCAAGCTCTTTAAGGAGTGGGTGACTGCCCATGTCGAGGTCAGCACTCAGCCAGCAGGTAATGCATGCAAAGAAAAAACGTGGACGTTACCGCAACCTCAAGACGACCTCAACCTCACTTGCAATCTGTGCCTCCGTGTTCTCTTTTGCAGGTCAGGAACGCAAGAAGAGCAAGTGAACGCCACTGCTCAGTAAAAGCTAAATACCCACGCGTTGTTACTAAGATCAGACATGATGGTCATGTACATTACCTACTTGAAACTTCCCTGTCATGCAATACATCATGTTGCTTGTATCCCTTCCTAACTTCACAACTAAATGTACAACCCCCCAGGCCAGGCCAACGTTATGGAGACGCAGCAGGAGCCCCTCGGCCAGAAGAGCAGCCGCCAGGATGGGGATGAGGGAGACGATGGGGACTACAGCGGGGACGAGGGCGAGGGCAGGGAAGACGACGGCGAGGGCGGGGAGGACGAGGGCGAGGGCAGGGAAGACGACGGCGAGGGCGGGGAGGACGACGGCGAGGGCGGGGAGGACGACGGCGAGGGCGGGGAGGACGACGGCGAGGGCGGGGAGGACGACGGCGAGGGCGGGGAGGACGACGGCGAGGGCGGGGAGGACGACGGCGAGGGCGAGTGCGCGGAGGATGAGGGCGGGGAGGATGAGGGTGGGGAGGACGGGGACTGGCCGTACGAGAGCGGGGATTACATGGGTGGGGAGGACGAGGACTGGGAGGACAAGGGAGGGGAGGACAAGGGAGGGGAGGACAAGGGAGGGGAGGACGAGGGAGGGGAGGATGAGGGAGGGGATGAGGACGAGGGGACGGGGGGCAAAGTCCTGTTCGAGGAGTACGGCAGAAGCAAAAGCCAGAAGGTCCACAGCAAGTCCGTGCCTCAACCAACTGGGCGCCGCAAGGTCCTGGTGACCGGACAACATGACAAAGGTAAATTGTAGCTTCATCATGACAATAAATTACGACTTACTAACAACATGGCAATAAATTACGACTACACATAAAAATTAATTTCTGAATCACTCTCACTTATTGTAGGGGCATTGGATGCCAGAGGGCGGCCCACACGCCTGAGGCAACCCTCGGCTAAGGCTCGGGAGAGCCAAGAAACGGTGGCCATGGTGGTGCCTGCTCGAACCAAGCGTCCACGCCCTAAGGAAACCCCACTGGTGTTGCCGGAGGACCCATCGGCTTTCGGGGCCACAGTGTCAAACCCCGCAAAGAGGAAGGAATCGTTTGGTGTCGGTAACGGCCGAGCTGTACAGACCCACGGGGCTAAGGTGCAGCAGGAGAAGGGCAAGAAGGCCATGGCAGAGATTCGGAAGGGGGGGCTGAAGAAGCAGCGGAGGTAGCAGACCGCGGGCAGTGATCAGGAACCTGGAGGGCGCCTGTAGTTTCAAGTGATTCTCAATGTTGAGTAAAGAAGGGCCTCTAGTCCTCGTGGTACCGATTGAGAGATGTGAGCAGGTTGTAGTAGGCCATTGGGCAATGCTTTGTGTATGAGGGAGTCTGCCATTCGAAGTGCAAATGAGAGCTGACAGCAGGGGTTGATGGTGTGACCTGTACC